TTCATTCCATGTGCAAAGAGAAATGGAGTCCAACACAGAGTGCTTTGTGGTCCTCTGTTGCTTCAAACAGTACTGTAATGAAGTCTTACAAAGTACCACACGTACAAGTTATAAAGCTGAGGGTAGAATGACTCAAAGAACTTGAGCATTTGAAAACTTGATGGCCACTGTGAAACTGTACTAACACACTATCACTAAAACAGGAAGGCCAGGCAAATCTTTTCTTAAAGATTAAAAAAAAATTTTATTATCTTTGTGTATGGTATTGCTTGCACATTATGTAAGTGCATCTATGTTGTGCAATGACCACACAGGTCAGAAGAGGGTATCAGGTTTCCCTGGAACTGGAATTATGTTGCGGGTGTCCTGGGGCCCTCCGGGCGGAGGTAGAGTTGGCATGGACTATTGACACAGACACCGAGAGTCAAGTGAGGAGGCAGTGCAAGCAGCTGCAGACTCATTTATTGTGGATATGGGGGTCCCTTATATCCCCCCTCCCGGTGTCCCATTGGTCCATTGATAGGTCGTGTCTGTTCCTCATTGGCTCTCTGTATCGGGCCATTTTCACATCAGCCATCTCTATGTCTTTTGGCAGAACACAGGTTTCCCTGAGCTGGATGTTTTACCACGCTTGCTGCGCACATGCTCTGGCCGCCCAGGCTGCACTTCCTCCTACAGAGTTACAGTTATTAACCGCTAGGTGGGTGATGGGAATTGAATGTGGGTTCTCAGCAAGAGCAGCCAGTGCTCTTAACCACTGAGCCATCTCTCCAGACCCTTAAGATTTTTTTTTTTTTAATTATGTGTATGTGTGTCTCTGTGAGGCTACAGCATGGGGTGCTCTTGGGAGGCCAGAAGAGGGCATCAGATCCTGTGGAGCCAGAGTTCCAGGCAGTTGTGAGCTGCCCAATGTGGGTGTTTCAAGAGCAGTATGTGTTCTTAACTGCTGTGCCATCTCTCTGACCCCTGACTAACCTGTTAAAAGGAAAAATTTAGGCAAGACCACAGGAAGAAAAATTAAGATATGAAATTCACTATAATTTCTCATTTTCAGGGGGGCCACTACAAGAAAACAAAAACAGAATCATTGTTCAAGAGTTTATAGTTGGTCTGGGTGTGGTGGCACATGCTTTTCAATCCAGCACTCAGGAAGCAGGTGGATCTTTGAGACTGAGGCCAGCCTGGTATGCTTAGGGAGTTCCAGGCCAGTTGGGGCTACAGGGACGCCATTTCAAAAAACCCAAACCAAAACTTTTATAACTGATTTTTATAACTAAGGTACTGCAAAGTGAAAACAGTAAGAGAAATGCAGGGCTGTAGCAACCTAAGGATGCTGACCTGGTCTGGAGGCTGAGCAACTGCAGGACCAAGGCTAATGAAGTGGAAAGTCCTGCATATGGGAAGGGGTAGGAAACAGCCACTATAGTGAAGAGGAGCCTGGGATAGATTAGTGAGGACACATATTCAAAACCTATTTAGTGTGAGCATTGACACAAAGACATTAAAGTGAACATCACAGAATTGTCAAAACACCTGTAAAGACCTGTGGCATTGAAAAACTGTCAGTTGCCATCCCTGTGTGTTCTGGGGGCAACCTAGAGATCAATATCACTTTGCTTTGTCCAAGAGGTTCTGTGAAGCCAGTGTGAATCATATGACCAAGGCCAAGTATCTGTTTTATTCTGTGATTACCTTCCCAGCCCTCCCTAGCCCCAAAGGTGATATGAACCAGTGGGAAAGGTAGTTCATCTCTGTAGAACTCTATAGGTTCTTACATAATTCATAATTTGAGATTTTACAGAAAACCACAATTCAACCCTTTACAGATTTGAAAGTATTCAAGATCTTAAAATGACTTCTGGAAGAAACCATATCCAGTAATGTCCAAGCTAAACCTTTTAGGTTCTGAATAAAACTAAATGAACTACAATTTCACTACCAATCCTAAAGGCTGTTTCCAGAAATTACTAATTGTTTTTCAGCTAAACAATACTTTAATCAGATTTTTATGCTGAACAAAAGTCTCTCATTTGGTATACATTACTTTATAACAACAAAACTATTTAAAATCAAGATGATATCTTTGTTTATTAATAAAGTAATTATGATTTCTGAAAAAAGCTGTAAAATATGCATATATTAATGCTAGGCCATCCAAAATACAGAGCAGAGTCAACAGTCAGTCATGGCCAAAGATCACACAAATGAGAAATAAATACAAGGCTATGATACCTGGTGAGTAAAGACAACAAAAGAAACCATTTCAAAATTGGTTATAGAAAAGCACATTAAATATCACTTTAAAATAGTATCCATCTTTTAAGTGAGCATACACTCATCTAATCATGTACAAATATAATAAACTAACAGCTCTCTCTCTCTTATACAAATACAATTCCTTGCTTCTTCATGTAACGCATGAAAATAATAGAGTGAAGTCATTAGAAAAATATGGACCATTCTGAATCTATATTGTATTTTTAATTAAAAAATACAGCTTAGATCATATGAAACATGGATTTCAGATTTACATATTTGTAGTTTTACATATGCTCTTTAGTTTGGCAGAAATGCAAAAATATGACTTCTTAATTTCTTAATAACAGATTAGCTAAAAATACCCACTGAAAGAAGTACTAGTTTGCAGGACAAGATGTAAGCTACGCATGCTTTTGAGTTACTGCCTATTCAATGCCCCAAATACACAGGTCCCTAACACTAAGCCCTTGGTACAGATTTGCTTCAGAGATAAGTGGAGCGTTCATGTCTCATCGTCTTTAACACTTCTGTAAATACAGTTAAAAATTTGCTTTCTAAAAGAATAAAGTCTCAAGTAAACATTGCATATTTGATTTAAACCAATCTGTTATGTTCATAACACATTTGATCATAACCACTAATATGTAAAAAGTTTTTTAAAAAATCATTCTTATGTGAAGATAAAACTAAACTTTGTAAACATGTTCGTTTTCAATAACTCACTATATTGCAGCTGCTCTTTGGTTTGGCATATTGGTTAGGTGCCTCAAGTACTGAATATTCAAGTACATCTATACCCAGTTAAGCCAAGGCGCCTAATTTGTTATTAATGGCAATGGCAGACTTGAAATTCAACTTTATTTTCCTTACTTCACAAATATTCAAGTGTTTAAAGGATGAAAGAGTAATTAGAAATTTTGGCAAGGCTTCATTTTGACCTGTATGCCCAGTTGACAGCAATACTCAATACCAGTTGAAACACCAAAGAGGCAGCTTTTTCCTGATTCCCATGCCACTTACAGGCCCGTAATGAACAGTCATTAGCATATATGAATAAATTCAGCCTGGACTAGGAATACAGCTCAGTGGTAGAGGGCTTGCCTAGCAAGCACAGGTCCTGGGTTTGATCTCCAGCACCAAAATAAAACAACACCAAAAAAGATCAGCTAAATATTTAGAGTATGGCAATGTTGGCTGTAAATTAAAGGTTACCAAAGCAAAAACCTTCATCTGAGGATTTTTGAAAAAAACTGTTTACTGTGAGGATAAACAAATGAAAATGAGAAAAATGATACTTCTATATAAGTTCCTGAATAGGTTAAAGGGGAAAATCATGCCAGATGTGTGCAAATTCCTTGATCTATACAGAAACATAAGAGTCAGAATACTTCTGAAAGTAGTTAAGTATGTTTAAGGATTTACAAATTCTTTATAATGTGCAAACCACCAAACTGGTTTTATTTTTGTGTGATAATCTTTTTCTGTCTTTTTGGTTTTTTGAGGCTCTCATTTTCCTACAGGCTACCTTTCAACTCACTGTGTAGCTAATGATGACCTTGAACTCATGATATTCTTGCCTCTGTCTCCCAAATGCTGAGATTGCTGGTGTGTGCCACTATGCCCAGAAGTAATTGCTAGGTCTTAATTTATTCTGTCTTTTCAGAGTCAAGACTGTTAATAAAGAGTTGAAACAAAGAGGAATCCATACTATATATAAACATTCTAAACTTTGTTTTCAAAGCTACTTGTTCTTCTGGTTCAAAGGGAAAAGTTAATTCTTAAGATTTAATATTAGCACAGCCAGTGAAAATTCAACAAATCCCTCAACGTGTAAAGCTGGAACAGCAGCTATCTAATGCAAGACTAGGAAATTACAGGGTTATAGCTTTAGTATATTGTTTGGTATATACTTGTTGGATGGATGAAAAGGAAGCTTACTGTACGAAGTTCAACACTGGGGAATGTTAGAAGTTCTGTAGTCCAGCTCATTTGGGATGTCCTCTTCTCTATAATCCCACTTTGCAGAAAAAGAAACTATAACCTGATACCTAACGTGTGCCAGTAAGACTTCTCTTTGCCCACCCACTAGAAGAAATCTTTTGAGGTTTGTTTCTTTGATAAATGGCATAAACAGAGAATAGCATTTTTTTTTTTTTTAGTCTTTTTGAGACAGGGTCTCCCTGTAGCCCCAGCTGTCCTGGAACTCACTATGTAGACCAGGCTGGCCTTGAACTCACAGAGATCCTCCTGCCTCTGCCTCCCGAGTGCTGGGATTAAAGGCGTGCGCCACCATGCCTGGCTCGAGAATAGCATTTTTATACTGTGTATGTGTATGTGCATGTGTGTGTGTCTGTCTGTGTTTTGAGACAGCTAGCCTGGAACTCACTATGTGGACCAGGTTGCACTGGAACTCTGGTATAAACAGAGAATAGCGTTTCTATAGTGTGTGTGTGTGTGTGTGTGTGAGTGTGTGTGTGTGTGTGTGTGTGTGTGTGTGT